GTTACCCTATAGCCCAAGGACCACTCAAGAGATGAAGGGATAAGTTACCCTATAGACCAAGGACCATTCAAGAGATGAAGGGATAAGTTACCCTATAGACCAAGAACCACTCAAGAGATGAAGGGATAAGTTACCCTATAGACCAAGGACCATTCAAGAGATGAAGGGATAAGTTACCCTATAGACCAAGAACCACTCAAGAGATGAAGGGATAAGTTACCCTATAGACCAAGGACCATTCAAGAGATGAAGGGATAAGTTACCCTATAGACCAAGGACCATTCAAGAGATGAAGGGATAAGTTACCCTATAGACCAAGGACCATTCAAGAGATGAAGGGACTTTACGGAGGCCCGACATGACCAGGTGGTTACGGCATTCGACTCGCAACCTGAGGGTCGAGGGTTCGAATCCCCGTCACACCAAACATACTCGCCCTTTCAGCCGTAGGGGTGTTATAATGTGACGGTCAATCCCACTATTCATTGGTAAAAGACTAGTCCAAGAGTTGGCGGTGGGTGGTGATGACTAGCTGCCTTCCCTCTATTCTTACACTGCTAAATTAGGGACGGCTAGCGCAGATAGCCCTCGTGTAGCTTTGCGCGAAATTAAAAAAAACAAAAACAAAAAGACAATTTTTCAGGACTCACTACTCACCTTTACCCCGGGGTTGAAGACATACAACAGTGGGTTAGTGCGAAGCCGTTCGGCCTCCACCATCATCCTTCGGACTTCCCCTCTCCTCTGGGAACTCAACTCGGATACTTCAGCTCTCGTCATCACCTTAGCTTTCATGGCCGCCACCTGAACGTCAGGAAGGCTTTTCTTCCTCTTGATAACTCCGGGCTTGCTAGGTTGAGGTTGGGAGGGGGGTTGTCTCATTGCCACCCCACCATAAAGTGATACTGTTCTTTTGGGGTTGGAATAGGATGCATTCTCACGTGTCTGGGGGGTAAGCATACTGCCATTACTCTCCGCCTCACTGTCACTAGGGACGAAAGAAACGAGTCCGGGATCCGTTTGGCCCTGAAAGCTCTCGGCATAGAGGTTAGGAAGGGTAGATCGACGGGGCACGTGCCCCGGAAAGAGGTCATCATTGTCCATGCTTTCTGAGACTCCAGAATCGGGAGTACAATCCGGAGCGTAGTCTGTTGGTTGATGAGAAATATTGGAAGGAGTTTGAGCAGTTTGTAATTTGGGAAAATGCATCCTCTGTGGTGATTGGCTACCACGAAAACTAGGCTTCATCGCGACATGTTCATGGCCGTATTGGTCCAGGTGGTCAGACATGGCCTGCTGAAGAGTGTAATTTACCTCTCGGTCTCGGAAACTGAGGTTATTCTGGCGTCGAAAAGAACCGTGCGGCGATCGACTTAAGGTTTCATTGGACATTGTTGCACTTGAAGGATGGAGGTAATTCACTACTTTTGGGTCAGTTTGAGGGGGTTCACGATTAGGGGTGCTTTCCCGGAAGGGAACTTGACTTCCGGATCGATCAGTGTTCAGTGTCAAAGTATCTGAAGTGGCAGGCTCTTTTTGTTCGTGGTATTCTGGGTTTGAGACTAGGTGTTCTCGAGAGGCACCGACTTGAGGAACGTAAAGAGAACGGGATCGTTGGCGGACTTGTTGATTTGGTACGATGCTTGATGGTCTTCGTAGTTTGTCAGTTCCCGGATGTTCTTTCAATTTTTTACGCTTGAGTAGATCTGTTCCTGTTGTATATATAAAGTTTTTGACAAAAGCAGATGAAGATAATAAAGTCAATACAAGAACACATAACTTTCAAACATCAGGATGACTACGTCAGAATCTGATAGTTTAATACATTCATGTTATGTTGCGTGATGTATTTAATTAATTCAAGTTCTGGATATATTCCTAATTAAAATCGTGAAAATGAAGTTTTTAACAAGAAAACTAGATAAATAAAACTTAGATAAATAAACTAGATAAATAAAACTTAGACAAATAAAACTAGATAAATAAAACTTAGATACATAAAACTAGATAAATAAAACTTAGATAAATGAAACTTAGATAAATAAAACTAGATATATAAAACTTAGACAAATAAAACTAGATAAATAAAACTTAGATAAATAAAACTAGATAAATAAACTAGATAAATAAAACTAGATAAATAAAACTTAGATAAATAAAACTTAGATAAATAAAACTAGATAAATAAACTAGATAAATAAAACTAGATAAATAAAACTTAGATAAATAAAAACATAAAAAAGGTTATTGAATATTATTTCCATAATTATAAATTTCAAAAATTTATGTCGCAAGACGAAGTTAGGCATTCTTCAATTTATATTGGCCAGTAAACACATCCTATTGGCCAGTAAACACACCCTATTGGCCAGTAAACACACCCTATTGGCCAGTAAACACACCCTATTGGCCAGTACACACATCCTATTGGCCAGTAAACACACCCTATTGGCCAGTAAACACACCATATTGGCCAGTAAACACACCCTATTGGCCAGTAAACACACCCTATTGGCCAGTAAACACACCCTATTGGCCAGTAAA